TAGAAAAGGTTGGGGATCACTGATTTAGAGTATGTAAAACGTTGTTGTCTTTGTTAAGTCCAAAATATGCATTTTGTCAGTCCATGTGACTACAATTGAAGTTGCCCATTACTATTTCCTTCTCAGATGTTTTTATTATTGTACTTTCAGTAAGTTAATTAGAGATCACCCAAAACTTTAAATTCCCAAGAGACAATATGTCGCTCTAACTTTGTATACAGTTACATGAATGTAGCAAGGTTGTGATCAACTATCTGGTGGACCTATATGAGCAATAAAACTATGCCTTAGTGAAAACAACAGGGAGTGTGTTGACTCATGAGGTTAGGACGCTGGGCTGACAATAGGTAGGCTTGCGTTCGAGACCCAGTTGCTGCTGTGGGAGCTCCCATCATACACTCTTATTCTTGCCAACCCCGCAGTTCGAAAACAAGAAACTGCGAGTAGGTAGATGGATACCACTTTGGTGAGCAACTTAACAGAGACATGAAAGAAGCCCCCAACTGGACATCCCTGGGCAGCAGAGATGTCATCATTCAATCCTTTCAACTCAAAGGATTTCAGAGCTCTTGACATGAATGTAGCAGTAGTCAAAACAACATTACCTGTTTGCTTTATTTTAGAAAAATATGCTTTGTAGTTTTCAATGAATGTTACAATATTTTTCAATGAATGTTACAATATTTCACAAGAATATGAGACAAAAATATCTAATATTACATTATTCCAGCTCTAAATTTATCTTCTTACCTTAGTGTTTGCCATGTCTACAATATACTGGTCCCCCTTCACACACTCCATTACAGGAAAGCCATCTCTGTCAAGGACCTTAGCTTGAGAATTACCCGCAACAACAAGAATGACATCTCCGGTGCTGCTGTACTGCAAAGACTTTATCTGGTGACTGAAAAATTACAGAACCAATTAAATACTAACAATTATATACAAAATTGCCAAGTCCGTGCTTACAAAATTTAAAAAATGGCAGAATATTTTCTATTTTATATCATTTTGGCAATATATGAAATATTTCCAAGTTGAATAATAATTGACAGATCTATTTTTAGTAGATGTACAGCAACTTCTGATCCATTTTTTTGAAATACAAATAGTCCTTGTTTAGTGACTGCTTCATTAAGGGATCACTTGCTATTATAATAGTGATGAAAAGTAACTTTTATGACTAATCTTTACATTTACAACCTTTGCAGGTCTATAAAGCAAAGGAAAGTTGAAGTGAGATCATAAGCACGGTTGCTGTTTTGTTAAGCTGCCATTTCACTTAATGATTGAGTTGCCAGTTCCAATTGTGCTTGCTAAATGAGGACTACTTATACGGGTATCTTTTTTCTTCTCTTTCCTGCTCTTTTCCACAATTCACAAAATGATGCTATCCATGTGATTCATCTCAATCTCATAAACAACCAACTTAATATCAATTATTTACATCAGCTTTGCAATGGAGTACCTTCTAGATATGTTGAGCTATCATTACAACCCATTTGGAGGCTATCACTTTTTAAATATTCTATATTTCTATTTTAAAACTATTTGTAATCCTAACCCCATTACAATTTCAATGACTATTGTTTTTGACAATTTCTTATTTCTAAATGTTTCTTGAGAAACAAATAAGTATCTTCGAGTTTTACGACCTAAAAATATAAATATGTGAGAAATAAACAGCATAAATTGAGTTGTCATTTTACTGTTATTCTTCCAAATATGGCTACATATTTTTATATTTTTATCTCAAAGGTATTGGCCCACATATTATTTCAGTAAGTTATCAATATATTTGGGGGAAAGCATCATGACATACCATTCACATGGTTGCAGAGATCTAAAAGCCTGAAGAGATGCATCCATTCCAGCAAAATCCCAAAATTTAACATCATAATCATATCCTCCAGTTATCAAACGAGCACCCGATGGATCCAATCCTAAAGCAGAGACCTATAAAGCAAGATGTGAAAATGAACTGTGAACCAACTTGATTTGTTAAGTATACATATGCATATGTACACACACACAAAATCAAGAATGCACATATATATAGGTTTATGTGTGGTTTCTTTTTCTCTTGGCCAGTTAACGGGATTCTTATGAATTTCTACTCTATGTTATGATCAAACCTGGATTCAATTCCTTCTTCTTGTTTTCACATAATTTATTTTCTTCTCAAGTTCAACATATTCTATCCTAAACCTATTTAAATTGTATTGGGGAGATATAAGAAAGGGAAATATCAAGATGCTTACTGTTTTTGTGCCATGGTGGAGAGTAATTTCATGTGAGTCGGGAATTTTCTTCACAGGATCCTAAAATAAATAATATTGTTCTGAATAATATTTAAGTATGCATATAACATCTATATAACCACAATAATTCTAGAAATGGGAGAAAGGAAAAATTACAGCAGGAAAAATCCTCTTCCACTTGCCTAAGAAGCAAGTTCCACAGATTTGGCACAGTGGTTAGATTGCAGTATTGCAGGCTAACTTTGCCCACATTCAGCAGTTCGATCCTGATTGGCTCAAGGTTCAGTTAGCCTTCCATCCTTCTGACATTGGTAAAATGAGAAACCAGACTGTTGAGGGTAACATTCTGACACTTGTAAACTGCCCAGAGGGTACTGTAAAGCACTATGGAACAATATATAAGTGTAAATGCTATTGCTACTACTATTTTAGCTAAGCTAAGTTTAGATACTAAAGTACTTCTCAAAACTGCCTCTGAAGATTTCATGGTTTTACATGCTTCTGCTATAATGAGTAAAGATCTTATTCTGGAAAATGTTTGTAAATAGTAGCAATAAGCTTTGACAATCAAATGCCGGTTATATCTGGGTTAGGATGAAAATGTATCATACAAGATAATTCTTAAACACCTAAAATGAGCTAGGAGGACTGAACCAATAGTTTTCTTCTACAGAAAAAACTTGAAATTTTGAAACGTTTTAATGCAGCCAATTCTACTGCTGATTTTAATACTATCTGCCAGGCTGTATCCAACACCGTGAGCCAAGCTTGGTCTAAATCCCATTAATTGATAAAAAGATTATTGTATCATATTTTCACAGAGTTGTTTCTATTTTACTTTAGAATAATGTTTGGAAAAAATATGTAAACTAGAAAATAAATAAAAAAATACATGAGCCATAACACTTCTAATTTAAAGGAATAAAGTTTAGCCCACCAATTTATCCATCTTTGGTACAGTGACCATGGGATGTAATTATTTGCAAATGGGTGATTAGCACAAGAAAGGTCAAAATATTTTAGTGCCAGGAACAACTGAGGATGTGGAGGAAACCAAGAAGAAAATTAAGGGGCAAATGAAAGGAAATGGGAAAAGAGATCTATCAGATTCACAGGAAAATTAGGGTATCTTTGACCAAGCTAACTGAACTCTTTGTAGCAAAAGGCTGGATCATTTAGCCCATTATTAAGTAGCATTTGCTTTTTCTATCTGCGCTGCATTAAAAAAATGTGCAGATCCATCCTTTGGAGCTCCAAATCCAAACTGCTTGAAGTTCTTTTTTGGAGAGAGATTATTAGCCATTCAACTCAAGGGATTCCTAAATTGTTTAACCAAACAACTAAAATTGTTTAATCAAAATCAAAATTAAGATAACAACCTCAAGGGACTAGTCTTGGCATAACATCTCTGCAAAACAGCCAAATATTTATGAAGAATCATAATGTGACCCCATTCTATTTTAATATCACTAAAAGTCCTAAATTGTAAAATATATTATAAATATCCCAAACCCGCCCCCAAAATTGCCTATATATGAACACAAATCCAGTTACAATTTGAGATGTGCCCAATGGTTTCATTCCCACAAAATTAAGAACATCAGAAAACATTTGAGGATCCAAAGAAAATATTTAAATAGTATATTGCAAGAAGTGATGTATCATGTGACAGAAGGCACTTTATACGATTCTGAGTGTTATCATAAACCTCATTAATTTCAGCAAAGCACTCTATCTTAGCCCTTCACTCATTCCTAATATTCAGAAACAATGAAAAGTTGGGTGTTCTAGTCCCACCTTAAACATGAAAGCCAACTTTGGGCCCAACACTTTATCTCAGCCCAACCCACTTCACCTGGTTGTTGTTGTGGATAAAATAGGAAGAAGGAGCATTATATATATTGCTATCTTGAGTTATTTATATAAAAGTACTAAAGGTTCCATATAAAATAAGAACTATTTAATACTGCTGCCCTTGCAGCATTTTCCAGAAGCACTGAGCACATTGGAAAAGGCTTTTATTGAGACTAGTTTATTTTTATTCATAAAAATAGTTCTTTTTAAATGACAAAAATAAATGTGGACAATCTATAAGAAGTCTAGAAAAGAGAACTAAGGGGTCCTTTTGCCTAATCAATGGATTCAGACATTAAGTAAATGTTAAATATGTTTCTTGTGAGTAAATTCAATTAGTTCAGGAAAAAAATATTTTAAAATCTGTTAGACCCCTCAAAAATGTTTCTCTGGTAGAGATGCAATAAATTTGAAGGAATTATTATTTATTCCTTCTTTTATTATTGAATTATTTATTGGCCTGATGTTATTATGATGAAATAACTTCTTGGAAAGCAGAAGAGTTAAAGAGGGTTAAATTTTGTTAAAAGTATAACCCCAAAATCTGCAATCTTTCCATTTATGAAAAAAGTTCAGTATTTCCATTTGGGGTTTTGCAAAAAGGGTGATTGCCCCCCCCCCCCCCTTAAAATTAAAGTGTTCAGTATCTGATACAGCAAAGGACAAAGTTCCAAATATGTTGATTTTTTGCATCCCTACAATGCTGATGGTTTCTTTTGTCTTCAGTGCAACTTGCCTTCCAATTATTCCCAAAGAAACAATGAGGATGCTGCATTCCTTAAAGTTCAGCAGCTCATAGATTTATTTTAAAAGGTAAATATATTTATAAATATTTAATAAATAACTTATCATTGATATATTCCTACCAAATTATATTTTATATCACTTCAGAGTTGTGAAGAGTGCTACAAATATATTCTGTTTGTGTGGGTGTATGTGTGTGGGTGTGTATACACAGTGATACCTCGGTACTCATTGTTAAATGGTTCCAGGAGATGCAATGAGTATCAAAAATGATGAGTGCTAAACATTTTTTCCCCGATAAGGAATAATGGAATGAGTCAGGCAGCTGATAACAAGAAGTTCTAGCTTGTGTGTTGAATACCAAACAAACGATGAAAACTGAGTCAAATTTTTCACATCAAAATGCATTGAGTACCAATTTTCAGGAGTTTCAAAGTGGTTGAGTATCAAGGTATCAATGTCTGTATGTGCATGTGTGTGTGTGTGTGTGTGTGTGTGTGTGTGTGTGTGTTTTCTTAAGTTTTCGCGGGTACTTACATGTATGGCATTCGGCTTTGTTTGGGTATTTTCCCA